TATCCGTTCATGCAATGGTCGATGGATATAGTCGGGCCAATGCATGCGTCAAAACAAAAACGCTTCCTTATGGTTCTGACCGACTTCTTCTCTAAATGGGTCGAAGCCGACTCTTACGCAAGCATCAAAGACGCCCAAGTAGAAAGTTTCGTATGGAGAAACATAGTCTCTAGACATGGGGTACCATACGAAATCGTAACGGATAATGGATCTCAATTTATCTCGACTAGATTCGAAGCTTTTTGCGAAAAATGGAATATACGATTGACCAAATCGACTCCAAGATATCCTCAAGGCAACGGACAAGCCGAGACCATTAATAAAACTATCCTCGACGGTCTCAAGAAACGCCTCGACGCCAAAAAGGGAAAGTGGGCCGAAGAGCTCGAAGGATTTTTATGGTCGCACCGCACAACCCCGAGGCGAGCAACGGGCGAAACTCCTTTTGCCCTCGTATACGGAACAGAATGCATGATTCCCGCGGAAGTCGAATTTCCAGGAGTACGCAGAAGGCTGCTCCCAGAAAGAGAAGAGTCAAACAACTTAATGCTTCTCGACGAACTCGATCTGATTAACGAACGACGGGATCAGGCGCTCGTTCGAATTCAAAACTATTAGCAAGCAGCCGCAAAGTACTACAACGCAAACGTACGCGGCCGCAGATTTCACGAAGGCGAACTAGTCTTACGAAAAGTCTTCCAAAACACCGCAGAACGAAATGTCGGTAAATTGGGAGCAAACTAGGAAGGACCATACAAGGTCATAAAGGTAGTCCGGCTTGGAGCATACGAAATCGCAAAGATGCAGGGCACCAAAATTCCCAGATCCTGGAACGCGATGCATCTCAAAAAATACTATCACTAGGCAACGCGCCCGCAAAAACACTGAACTACGAGACGGCTTGATCCCCTTAAAGGGTACGTAGGCATCTTGTCGCAAGACAAGACCAGCCGTCCCCCCTCGTTAAAAATAGGGGGGGAGTAGGTGAGTATACGTATACTCGTATACTCCCGACATTTCAAACTCAAAATTTCTCAAACTTTTTCAAACGTATCGAAAGAAAAAACGACATTCTAAATATAGCGAGACGTCGCCAATGTTTGGAAAACCGTTCCTCTCCGAAAACAACAAACACTCCGCCCGCGACTATAAAACACACACAGCTTCTTAAGATATAATCCCTTCGCGAAGGTCTAAACTACGTAAACATCTATCACTTAAAAATAATTTGTTGCTGATCACAACAAACTCGCAACAGTCCTAAACAAACTTAAGTTATCTCGCAGAGATAGCTCTCGAACACCCAACACAAGGGTAATAGCGCTATAAAAGAAATCCAAACTTTTGGTCAGCACTGCCGGGCAACTTAGAAATTGTTCCCGGTGAGATGCTCGGTTCCAACCAGACGAATCGTATAAGCCGAGAACATATTGCGGATTCCAAATCGGTATGGAATCAGGTTAAAATCGCAATAGGCAAAACGAAAGCCGATTAGTCATCGCACAGCCTCAGTCCAAAAGTAAACCTAGGTCTTGCTCTAAACCCAGCACACTGGTCGCTAACGTCTCAAGGCATGAATCGAGATCCTAAAGGCATGTCTCTTCGTCTATATCTAAACGTTCACTCAATTTGCTAAACATCCTAAAACGAGCAAACGAATAAGGCGATATCCTAAGGGAAAGGAATCCGAGACGACAACTCGTGGACCTCCCACAATACCAACTCGAAGCAACAAGTTTAAACAAAAAAACTGGTTGTTCATTACGAAAACAAAAGTTGCCGAAGCAACAAGGGATTCAAAGCCGTAAAGGGCCAGTCCCGAACAAGTACAAAAGCCATAGTCGGCCAACCGCATAAAGATCTAATTTTTAAAAAGTCTCGTATGAGACTACATCTTCAAACATCCTCCGCACGTGGAGCCTCATCCTCATCCATCGCATTACCTTCACCTTCGACAGCAATCTCCAGGCCGTCATTCTCGTCTGCATCAGGCTGAGGCACGTTTTCGGCAGCAGGAGCTGGATCGGAATCACTTCCCTCGACAGGAATAAATCCTTCAGTCACGCGGACAGCCGATTCCTCAAAACTCTTCATCTTGCGCTGAAGTCTGCGCAGCTCCGAAGCCTTAGATTTCTTTGCATCCTTCGCCTTGATCCGAGAGACCGCGGTCTTTCTGAGATCGCGCTCCAGATCGCTAATCCTGGCCTCAAACCGAGACACCTCCGCGGAATGCACGTCCTATATCACCTTCAGTTTCCCCTCAAGCTGAGCAGACCTCTCCTGCGACTCGGCCAACTCCTTGGCTAAACGCTCAACTTCGGACCCACACTCTTTGATCATCCCATCGATCAACGAAACAAACTAGAAAAACCAAGATAGACGGTCAGATACGAATATATTCTTTTAAACGTATACTTGCGAACCTATACCTTGGTACGCTGTTGCGACATCGAAACCAAGCTTGGCACCTTGCTAGACGAAGCTCCGGTCTCAGGACCCTTTACGCCTCTCTTTCTCTTGGAGCATCGGGGTTCGGACAAGTTCTCTTACGGCCTTTGGCTGAAGCAGGCAGCGTCGCGCTAAGCGCCGGAAGTCCCAGAACAATCACCCTCTTGGCCGGAGGAGAAGTTGGAGAGAAACTTGAGAGATGGAAGATATGAGAAATAATGATCCAAGACTTATATAAAGGAAGAGCATGTCCCTCTATTAAGACAAATTGCAGTCGTAGATTCCGATTAAAGCAACTCCATTCTCCCGCAAAAACTTTCTCCAGAATTTGCGAGCTGGGGGGCTAACTGTTGGTGTCAAAAACCGTAATCTCGAAATCAACGTCAACGATAACTTCTGTAAAAGATGGAATCATTGCTTTCCGCAAGAATTATTAAACTCGAGAAATCGCTTTATAAAACTAGAAGAATCATTTTATAAAACTCGAGAATCAATTTATAAAACTCGAGAATCGATTTATAAAACTCGAGAATCGTTTTATAAAACTCGAAGAATTGTTTTATAACACTCGAAGAATCGTTTTACAAAACCGCGAAAAACCGAAACCGCCGTAAAACGCGAACTAGCTTCGTTCCGGCTAGTTCGCCCAACGGCGAACTAAACCATGACCGGCTCCGTTCGCCGTTGGGCGAACTAGCCAAGTCCCGGACAGTTCGCCGACCGGCGAGCTGGACCGGTCCGGCTCGGTTCGCCGTACGTCGAACCGACCATCCCGAGCCTCGATCTCCCGCATCCCCAATTCAGTGCTTACGACCTTCGACACGGTCGTGTTCCAAACCACGGTCGAAATGCCTCCCGTTTCGTCTCGATCCGACCTATCATTCGAGTTTTACGATAAAAACCGTAAAACTTTGTTTTCTCGGAAAGAACTCGAGGAAATCATATAAAACGGCAACGGTTAAACGAAACACCGAACATTGCCTAAACTATACGATTTATTCAAGATTTTTCGTTAAAATCATAAAAAAACGCGTTTTTAATAAAAACGTCGAGGAAATCGTAAAAAACGGCAATGATTAACTGAGAAACGAGCGTAGCTAAACTTTACGATTAACTCGGGGAATTTACTAAAAACGGCATCGGATCAGGAAACGATCTCGTATAAAGTCATGAAACAGATTTATCGTAAGTCGACCCGAAAGGTCTTAAAAAGCGATAAAAGTCCGTCTCGCAGTCTTAACGAGATCCAACCCGAAGATACGATAACGTTTTGATTGTTTGCTCGTAGAAGAAAGATAAATGTCAAGTTTGAAGATAATGGCAAGTCTGAAGATAAATAAAAGATTTCCGCGGGAAAAAGGAAGGATCGAGATAAATGAAAGATTTCCGATAAACTCGAATCCGGGCAAAATGGAAAGACTGAACTGTCTGGAGAGGAGTATATAAGCCAGAGGCATAGGGCAAGAGCAGGGGGATGAAAATCTGACCTAAAAGGCGGCTGTTAGCTTAGGAATTTAGGACTTAGCGTTTAGACTAGCAATCCAGATCCTTAGAACGTTTCGACGTCTAAGTTCTTCAATTCTCTTTTGTAACAGTTGTCGATCTCTCACTTAATAAAAGTTTTCACACAAATTATGTATTCTCTGTTCTTCGTTGTCCATCCATATTCTGTTAATTTCGTTTGTTTTAGTGATTTCCGCAGAGATCCAGGACCTCGGGAAAATTAGAGTTTTTCTCTAAGTTTCCATATTTGACGGAAAATTGACAGTGTGGATTTCGGTTTCCACACTAGTTTAGAGGAACAGAAGTGAAAACCAAAAAGAAATCATAGAATAGTTTCTTATATATTATTTCAGAGCATAAAAGGAATTAATTCTTTTTTTCTTACAAAAGAAGTACATGGAAACTTTTTGTTCGCTCACTGAAAGAGTTTAGTTGGACAACATTTAACTTAGACGTGCATGTTTTATATTACCAACTTTTACTTATTATTCCATCCGTTTCGAATTAGTTGTCGTTTAGAGAAAAAAATTGTTTTAAAATAAATGTCATTTTAGAGTTTCAAGGTAAAATTCATTAGCTTTATATGATATTCTATTTTTCTATTGGTTGAAAAGTGGTTAGGTGTATAGCTAATTGTACTTTTATCTTGAAAATATGTAAAATTAAATGTTTTTTTAATCTGTGTATAAAGTCCTAGAATGACAAATAAAGTGAAACAAATAGAGTATCTAAGAGCATTTCCGTTGTATTTTGTGAATAACTCCATAATGGTATAACTCAATTTCATTATTCAATTTACCAAGTAACTCGAAGTTTTATGAGGTATTACCGACTTTTATTACTCATTTTTTTCTACAAAATGGAAGCATTTCATAATAGAATTGAGTTTTATTTCAGTTCAACTTCACTTTGAAGTGTCATATGTGGGATGGTGCAGTTATAAGTGGACCTCAGATAAATCGGGGTTCAAAACAACTCTATGACCCTAAATTCATGTAACCGCACAGATATGAGCTCAGTACATTCATTTTGAAAATCAATCTGGACCCATTTAAATGCTTAATATACATTAGATTAAAAAAAAGGATTGGCGTTATAGATGCTTTAGTAGACATGTATGTTTTGCATGTTAATAATTTTGATGAAGGGGTACACCTAAAAGAAACTGACACCAAATGAAACGTTGAAGATAGATCGTCTTTAAAGTTGAAACTCAGTACAGATTAACAACTAGTGAGAAAATGGGCCGAGCCACATGGACCCGTCAGTCGCTAAGTTTCCCTATTAATTAGGCTTACTCAATTCATCAAACTCTCAACCACAGCAAACATTAAAGCTTTTCTCACCAACTGCAAGAAGATTATATTCTCTTGATTCTGTCACCTTCAGACACCAGAAACCCTTCACTGGCTAGGGTTCCAACTGCCTTTCTTACCTGATTAAGAAAGGTCACAACAACAGCGACTCTTGTTAGTTTCTCTGTCCTGTTATGAGCTGATCAAAACTTTGATATGCAAGAAAAGTTGATAAATGACTCACATCATGTAGGTGAATCTCGGTGTTTATGTTGCCTCCATGCTTCTTCAGTTCTTCAAGTAGCTGCGCAACATTTCCCATTGTAATTAGTAAATGTCAGGAGAGCGGTTTCTCTAACAAGTATGATATCATTTGCTTTTATTGTTCGTTATAACAAGGTGGGATGATAAAAGGAGTAAAGCAGCAGGATACCTCTGACAAGCGCATTGCTGATCCTCCAATTTGCATTTTCTCAAGAGTTATATCTCGAATTGACGACACAAGGATGTCCCGTCTCATTCGTTCACTTGCGGAGACTCCAGTGTTTATTAGGTCCATGTCAATAGTCCCTTCACCAATATAAAAACAGCGTTTCTTATTAGAAATAGGTATCGAATAACAGATATCATTTGATAATAGAAATGATTGGTATGCCCCACATGATAATAGTGACGAAACTTACCAGTGGCGTGATCGGTTGCTGATTGCTGCATTGCAACTCTCAGAAGTCTAAACGCCTCCTCCACGTCATGTTTTTCAACCTTTTATTATCCATCACAAGAACCAAATGTTAATTGATTTGAGGAGACGAAAAGAAACTGCATCAAAGATTCAGGTTAGTATATGATGAGTCTTCACTGACCCATTCAGAGAAGCGCATTCGAGCCAAGGCCTCACTAAGTCTGATCAGGCTTTCAATTTGCCTAGGAGTCGCTGTTATGACCTGTGTGTCAGATTCAGAGAGTTAAGGCACGAGACTGACCAACCGTAGCATTGTTATGAGATCACAGAAAAAAAAAACAATGAAGTTCCAATTCACACCTTTTTGCTACTACCAGCAAATTTCCCTGCTTTTCTAAGCTCAACATAACCTCGGGTCAACTCCTCTGCGGCTTCATCTGATAGTTTAGGATGAATGTTCTTGCGAGCATAGCTAACATAGCTTGTCAGTGTAGTGATGTCCAAAGCTTCCTCTTGTGCACTCTGCAAATTGAGATAAAAGGATACCAACTGAAGCAAGATATGGGCGAACCACAATCATTTTTGTAAGCATATACTGCGGAAAGATATAAGACCTCTGCGTTCTCAAAGTGTAGTGCCACTATATGCTTTGCAAGCCTTCGGTCAGTCTGCTCATCAGGCTTGTCAAGAATCAAGTAGATTAAATCGAATCTGAGAAGCAAATGGAGATAAATTTAGTAACATAAAATATCCTCTTCTGCAGAAGCCTAAAATAAAAACGTCACTTTCGTTGAAGGACTGAAGCGTACCTAGAAAGCAAGGTTGGAGGAAGGTGAATATTCTCAATAACAGAAAGCCGCGGATTATAACGTGAGCCACTAGGATTTGCGCATGCCAACACAGAGGTCCTAGCATTTAGAGATGCAATGATACCAGCCTTTGCTATTGAAACAGTCTGCTGTTCCATAACCTGGCATAGCAACAATGCTCATCAGTAAGCAATCTTGTGCCCTAGAGACTAGGCGCCTAGACACTGCAAGCGATAACTTGAGTAATGATAAGAAGAAGAGAGTTACAAACCTCATGCAGCATGCTCCTCGCACTGTCAGACATTTTGTCAAATTCATCAATACAGCAGATACCACGGTCACTAAGAACAAGAGCTCCACTCTCCAGAACCTAAATGATGTAGCATTCACGTTAACAGGTCACGCTCAACAAGATTCTGAAAATAAAATTGATTACAAAATGGATGAAAACGACATGAACATACAGTTTCTCCTGTCTCAGGATCTTTAGCAACATAAGCTGTCAAACCAACAGCTGAGCTCCCTCTCCCACTTGTGTAAATGCCACGTGGTGAAAGTTTATGAATGTACTGAAGCAGCTGAGACTTGCTTGTACCAGGGTCACCAACAAGTAAGATGTTGATGTCACCACGAAAATTAGCACCAGATGCCAAGTTCAAAGCATTCCCTCCAAAAAGCTTCACATTATACATTTGTCTCAGTAAAAGGAACTAATGTTGTTTAGGATTAGTTGAACCTATAGCCAAGTATCGAAAGCGTTAAATCACCTGGCACAGAAGACCCTTTTTTACATCATCCAACTCCCAGATGTTTGGTGCTAGTGATCTAGCAAGCTTCTCATATATATCTGGTTGTTTAGAGAGTTCTTCAAACTTCTTCAGCTGAAAATTAATAAAAAAATCTAATTGGAATGGTGGAACAAAGGATAGTTAGAAAACTATAGATATATTTAGTAAAAAAGAATTAAGAACCTTTTCCTCATCTAACTCTACATCTTCATCGACTCTACGAAGACTATTGTCAACATCCATAGGATCCTCTGCGGCCATTCTTGTCTTACTTGCTTTCTTTATGTGAAGGCAATCGATGTAGGTCTATACTTCGACATTCAAAAGAGCACATAACTAACAATTTCAGAACGTAAAAGGAATAATGAGGAACTACAAACAAAAGAAAAGATGACATGCCTTAAACACAGATTTCACAGTCCTGTGAGCAGGCCCTATTCGGACGGTCATTGCTCTGTAGATTCCAGTGACCTATCCAGAAAACAAGTTTTGACTGTCACGGATAAGCATAGTAACGCATGTACTTAACCTTAAAACATGAATGTTTTTACCTCAATTCTATCACCAGGCTTTCCATTATCAACTAGCTTATCATGCAGCAACAAGCTAACAGTGTGAGGTGTTCCTCCTTCAGGAATCTCATCAGGCGTTTCCTGAAGCCTTACAATCTGCTTATCAGCAAACCTGATTCAGGAATGAAAGGGCATTAGATACAGCATTAAAAAGCAGCAGAAAAAACACAAGTCTAACTAGAACACACCTGCAACGGTTGTGCACTAATGTCATAGAGTTCTTGGCAAGACACTCTTGTTTCAAGCAAGTAGGAGGCTCACTTATTTTCCCTAACAATAAAACAAACATTAGGAAAAAGAAACTATGCAGAAATTCTAAAATGATCCGAAGTGGTCAGTCAATTTACCTCTATCAACGATGATAGGGTCAGAGAAGTATCCACAAACGAGACATCTAAACACAGCTTCCCTGATTTCGGGAATGATAGAGCTACTCCGAATGATCATCCCCTTCAAAGAGATCATCTTCTCAATATCTGACCAAGGAAAAAACACACATTCAAACATAGGTTAAGGTAGCCACTAGAGAGAAAGAGGTCAGAAAGAATGTAAAGAAAACTAACCAGAAGGGTTGAGGTTTCTCATGGAAGTAGAAGTCCTGAGGTTAAAAATCCTAACTTGAACATGTTTCTCGAACAAACGATTGATGGAGGAAACAATATCCATCAAGACAATATCAAAGATAGCGAGGACTTCCAAAGGATATCTCACCATCTTGTTGTACAAATCAGGATCATAATCAAACACATCATAGGCATCAACATCAATCCACTCTCCTTCAATCTCAATCACCTTACGTATGGAAGCCATATACTTGCCTTCCCTAAACAAGTCGTCACTACTCTCTTTAGCTTCCCTGAAATGCTTAACGAACATCTCAATCGCGGATTTGACATCTTGCACGCTGATGTTGGTTCCCCAGACGAAAGTCGGAGTGGTGTCGTCGGCGCCGTCTTCTCCACCATCATCGGAAGAGGGAGGCGCTTCGTCGGTGTGTGAGGGAGTCGCTGGGACATTGCCTCGGTTGGATCTGGCGGCGGAAGGGGTGGAGTTTGAGGCTCCGAGGCGGGAAGGAGTGGCGAATTGAGAAGGGGTGGAGGATCTTGCTCGGCGGCGACTGCGGAGGGAGGATGGAGAAGAGTAGGTGTTGCCGATTGGGCTTGAAGCGTTTTCGCCGGGAGAAGAAGGACCTGCGGGTACTGACACTAATCAAAATCACGTAATGGTTTCAGACAGAGAGAGAAAGAGAGTACCGTCGTTGGTGTTGCCTGGAGAAGAGTCGGAAGCCATGGCTGCTGCTGCGAGTATTGTGAGAGAGACAAAGAGAAGTGAGGTTTCGGTGCTTTTTAGAGACAAGAGATAATTTAGGCGGGACTTACACTTGATTTTGCCGCCATTATTAGTTTGGCCTTTTTAACGGGCCTGTAAATTGGGGCTTTTATCAACTTGGCCTGACCAAATCATTTGATTTTGAAGGCAAAAACATGTTTTTAGCTAACCTTTGGCTTTAAACTAATGGTGCAACTGGAATTTTTTTTGGAATAAAAACTTCCTAAATGCTTAATTCATCTGCATTCCAAAAATTGTTAACCAGTTACAATGAAAAATAGAAAAGGTATTCTATTTCATTCCATAACGTTCCATATTATTCTAGAAAAACAATTAACTTACATTTGAAAAATCATTCCAAATCAACACACATTCTGGAATAAGTAGAACTAGGTGGGTGCCGCACTTTTGTGGATATAAAATTGTATGAATATAATATTTTTTTTTAATTTCAAAATTTTGAATAATAATCATAAATATCAATAATATAACCTTTTCAATTTAAATATTTTTTTTGTTTATAATTTAAAATTTCGAATAATAATCATAAATATTGATATAACCCTTTAAATTTAAATAATTTGGAAACCAAAGCATGGTATTATACAATTTTAGAAGACTGAACAAAAACATTGAAGAGTTTGGAGATATAATGACAATTCTATAAAATTTTAATCTAAGTTTCCAAAGATATTTTTATGACAGAATTTACAGTTAACATAAACATGAAAATTGTTGAATAAAAAATTATTTATAACAATTTATGTTTCACATTTTTTTCTACCACGTTATTTAACTTATACGCAAAATATTTACAAAGTTTTCATAATTATGTCAAATCACAATCCAATCCTTCTCACTCGTTTTTTATTTAGTGTTTAAAACAAAACTCAAAATTGGTTAAGAAAATAAATTTATCCTTGATTTTTCTCCGTCATCACATTATTTTATCATACACTAATTTATTTGAGCAAATTTTTTTACTAAAACTAAACATACTTTAGATATCTATTAAAGGTATTATTTCATTTATTTTAAGTTATTTTAGTACATAGTTGTTTTAATTGAATCTGATTAGCTAATTATATATAAGAAACAAATATTTAAATTTTTAGATAACGTTCACTATTAAATCAAAATAAAATATTTTTATTTGTATAAAATTTTGTTAATTTTTATCATGTACATTGTAAAAATTTATTATACCGCAAAAATACATATCATCATTTTATATAATTGTTTTTAGTGTCAATTTAAAATTAAATTTTCCATGTTTGATTTTATCAATTGTAGAAGTAGTCATTTTTATTGATCTTCCTTTCTCAATTTATCTTAATATTTTAAAAACCCATAAAATTAATTAGTTAACGTTTATAGTAGCATACATGTATCTCGGTAAACAAATAAAAGTTAAAGACACAAGAATACAGAAGTGCCAAGAACACAACAACACATGTGTTATTATTCTTTCCTTATGTCTTTTATTTGTTTCTCTTTTATTTTTTCCTATTGAAAACAAGCATGAAAAATTATTATCATCAAGTCCATATGATTTATATTAATAGAGTATTAACTCTAGTCTCATATTAAGATAAGATTCTGATTTTAATTTTCTATTATAATGAGTTTTTCTTGATTAATATAATTTTAAATGACTCACCATATATTTTTATGTTTATAAATATAAAAAGTACTTTAATCATTTCAAAAAATGATAACCCAGCTATAATATCACATTGTTATTGGAAAATGATTGGAAGTTTTTAAAATAAATATTTGACACATTTTTAGAATATACCTAGTGAATGAGTGAGTTTAATTGATAATATTAGGTTTAGACTAACTAATTTTCTGCAATGTATGATTTATTACATCCATTACTAATATAAATATATTAAAAATCTTATATATTTTTTATGTAGTATCATATGTATTTATTTTTATATTATCAATTTATATAATGTAATCTATGATATTTAATTATTTTTATAAATAAATTATGTTAATTCATCTGTATTTAAGATGTTTAATTTTCTAGTTAGATTAGATTAGGTAATTCTAGATTAGTTTTTAAAAAAAAAAAGAATTTAAAAAATTTTAAAAAAAATCGTAGAGTTGCAGCAGCAAAATCATGACCAAAGGAAAAAATACAAAGAATATCATGGTTCGTCATCGAGAGTTAATTGCAATCCAAGAGATGAAGCTGATCGTTTGAGACTTAAAATCCCTTCTTTCCATGGCAAGGCTGATCCTGATGCGTATATAAAGTGGGAAGAGACGGTTGAGTCGGCTTTCAACTATCAACACTATGCTGAAAAGAAAAAGGTTCAGATGGTTACTGCTGAGTTATGTGGTTATGCATTTAGCTGGTGGGATCAACTGGTAATGTCCATAAGACGCTATGGAAAAGAACCAATAGAAACATGGCATAAATTGAGGGCTATGATGCGTAAACAATATGTTCCAAGACAGTACCACAAAGAACTATTTCAAAAGGAGTTTGAGACAAAGCTATACTCTTCAAATTCGGTTTAGAAACAACCTGACAGCAAGAGATCATGTCCACCCAGTACATTTGGTTCAACTAGCAAGGCAACAACCTGTTACAGCAAAGAGAAAACAGTCCCTAAGCCAATCCATGGATGTTAAGCAGTTTTGTTTCAGTGAGAAGGACAAGAAAGGGATGTATCAAGTGTTTAAGGATGTGGAGGAACAACTCAGGAAGAACAGAACAACACGTCCATCCTTAGAAGAACAGAACCAAGAACCAATCACTGCTGCCTCAGAGATCAAAACTGCATAACCAGAACCAATTCAAGAAGATCAATTTGAGATTCCAACAATCATCATTCAGAAAGATTAGCAACCAGTCATGGACGACCTGATTCCTTCAATTTAGGATGAAATAGAAGAGGAGACACCCAAGGAAACACAAGCACATATTGGATTGGAGCAGAGAGTGGGTTGGAGCAGATAGTTGTGTTTCACCCATTTGATTTCCAAAATATATTCTTGGGTACTTCTATGTTCACTCTTTTTGTTTGGAACAAGAACAAACCAGTGGAGCTGTCAAGACATGAATTGGTTATCAAACATGTTGTATTTGAGCCTGGAGGAGAGGTGTGGAATCACAAAAACAAGATCAAACTGAATGAAAGAGAAACATGAGCGGAAACCTCTGTTCTTGACGATATTTTATCCTCTGGGGACAAGGTGTTGCACAGATCAGCTCGGAAAGAGTTCCATTATGAAACCAATTGGATAATGAAGCCAAGTCAGTCATGGATCCAACAAAGCAGGTATCACAGAAATGGCCATCTGATCTTCAAGATAATGTGAATATGCGAAAACATGTCGGTTTGGGTTAATTTGGAGAAGTGAGTATATCTTACTGAATTGTAAGATTTCAGACCTATTTGTGGATACCTGTAGCATATATTAGTTTACTGATCAACATTAGAATGGGTTGTAGAGATTTGGAAAGTGGACAATATACATACTTTCTCGACCAATTCAAGCTATGGAAACCACCTGATTGTCAACAGAAGTTTATGATTGATCCAAAGTCAAACAAAGACCATTCCATTGACAGAGGAAAATGGAACCTGAGGTCAAAACGTTTCTAGAAACTCTATGAACATGCTGCACTTGGATCATCACATGAACTTGCTTCCAAAGGTTATGAATTTCATTACATTGTTCTTAAAATTTCTACTTCTAAGTTTAATGAAATTTTTCTGTCTCATTAGTGCTAAAAAAATTAGAAACAATGGGGTGGGAAACGATCAAAAGGTGCATTAGAGGTCAAGAAAAAAAACACCAGAAAAAAATCTGTCTTCAGCAAATTCAAAAGCAGTGCACTTGAAGCTATGAACCAACCTGATTTATCTAAACTCAAAGGAACACATGAAACCTTATTTGCTTGTTGTTGGTACATGTCAAACTGTTTTGAGCTCTACACTTTTTGAAAAGAAGGATTCAAGCTATGAACCAACCTTTCCTACATTCTTAGTCCTTCCTACATCAATAATGAACAAGTTTGAGGCGGAAACAAATTCAGAATTGTAAGTTACTGCTTCTACAACTCAGGTAACTTTACATTTGCTAAAGTAAGTAACTATGTTTTCAAGGATCCTTATGTCACTGATTACATAAATATAATACACTTGTTTTTGTCAAAAGAACTAAGTACAGATTTCAGGAAAATCTTGAAGCATAAAAGAAAAAACAACCAGAAAGAGGATGAGAAGAGGTTCATACCACCTGATTTGAACCAGGATAAACACCCAGGAATCACTTGATTTATCCCCATCAAAGAAGCACCTCCATATGCAAGAAACAAGCCAAAACCGATCAAAAACAGATTTAGACTATTTATTTTACTTTGTGATGATTATTCATGTTCTAATTTGTTCTATATCAAAGAGTATGAATCAGGTTCGAGGGATGCATCAAGAAAAAGGAGAACTAAGCTGTTGCATGAAATCGACAAACCCTTCTACATAATCAAACGGATCAGCAACAATGGCTATCAACGAGGCTTTCAAGGTAAGTATTCTGATTTCAAATTACAGTGTTGCTGATTTGGTCCCTTTTATTGCAGGGAAAACAGATTTGAATACAAATCTTTATGAAGAGGGAGGGGGATGATATGGTCATGGATATCACAAGGAAATCGATGCAAACCAGAACGTGGACAGCTTGGAGCTGAGGATGCAACCTTAAAGAATGCTTGGAAACATGAAGAATACATTGGTCTAAATGAAAAAACTACTATCAGAGATATCTTAATCACCATTCAACCCATTCCAAGTTTAAGATGTTCAAGAAATAGGTAAATAGCTTGTGTGCTCTTTTTCCCTGGCTTTGTTTTTGTCCCACTGGTTTTTCCAAAGAGAGGTTTTTAACGAGGCCACAAATTGCTTTCATATCTCCAATTTATTTGGTCCAAAGTTCAGCAAGAAGTATCTAATT